TGAAGGGTCAGATGTGCGAGTTGCATGCAAAATCCACCGGGGAATTCACCGCACACCCCTACCCCTATCTCCTCTTAGCCCCACTCGTTAATGACGGACGTTATTCCAGATGGGGTTTTAAAGTACCACATTTTTTCGGCCGATGTCCAACAGCAGCACTGCGGGCAGCGTACGTATAACTATACACTTAAGTTTTGTGGCGAAAAGTCTTGGAATATTGCACATCTGACGTTCGTGACAGACGGCAATACGGAATCAAGCAACATCACACTCAAGAACAAGCATGATAGGAAAGTAGCTACCGCTATATTTTTGGGACGTCGGCTAGTATAGGGACTCATGACTGGACAAATTTGATATTGCAAAGTCATATTGCCGGCCTATCCACGGACGGTCTTATATTTGACAATATATGGTAAGTTTTTCCCAACTACCGAAGGGAGATGTTAACGAATTTACAACACGCCGTGATAATGAGATCCTGTCCATGAAATGGGAAGAATTCGTGGCTGTTCAATGTCTTCTGGTTGACATTTGCGACAACAAGAACGCCTGCTGTCGGAAGACGAAAACAATAAGCTTACTTGGGAAGTCACGTGCACGTTGTTCAGGCAAGGAGAAAATGTGTGGTTCGACAAGTAATTCACAACGAAAATGATCAGCCCTCATATGTAATCCACGTGGTCAAACCGCGGTTGTCACCGAAAAACACTCCATTATGTGCTAAGGTGTGATGACAGTCATGGAAGAGTAAATGACTGTAGACATAAACAATCCACTTGCCATAAGTGCGGCAACGTCGGACATCTTGCGAGTGTTGACCACTCAACAGTGCTTCCATGTCGTGTAGCCTAAACTACACCAAATACTGTACGGATAGTGGAGAATTCCAATAAGTTCATAGCTAATTTGATTTCACATACTACCATATCACATATGCGCGGAATACTTCCATAAACTGTGGAATTGGGGATTGAAGGCCAACCTGCGCGCCTAGAAATCGATATAGGGGCCTCAGTTACGATGCTCAACAATCGCACAAGCTTGAGCCTAAAAGTTGATTTGTAAGTAAGTCTGTCTGAGCCAACTTGGCGCAAAAAATGATGGTTTGAAGAGTGAGATACAAAAGCACGTGCCTTAAAATCCAAAGGAGCCGATGATGTGTGAACACATCAGAGTGCCTGTGCCAATTAAAGTTCTCCAGGAGCGATGTAACAATCTCGAAATATCGAAAGATTGTTACATCGAACCAAAACAGAGAAGAGATGTAATAGTTGGCGCACACCATCCAATTCGGTGCGTGCGCTAAGCAAGGTGAGAGAACGAGTAACGGTTTAGGTGGAGAGCTTAAGACCACGCAGGTCGCGCTTTTGTACACCATTGAAGCATGTTGAACTGTAAAAGAACATGTTTTGTGGAGAAGACGATGTTTTTGTGATTCCGAAATCGATTAGAATGAATGTGTAGGGTCCAGACGGAGACGCGCTACATTTTCTGGTACACAGCGGGATATCCAAGGGAGCCAGCAGCAGAGATTTAGCTCTAAGATAAGCAACCGAAGTCCACCGCTAAGACAAATGTCTAAAACCTCGCACTAGAGGTGGCGAAGCTCAAAATAAGAAGTCGGTTATTTTGATGTTCATATATATAAACAAAAATAGATTGACAGGAAGGAGGAGTTCTGGTCAGAAAGCGATAGGAAAGGACGGAACGAACGGTTAATACGGTATTCGTTCGGTTGACATAGCGACGGCGATGGGAAAGCAATAAAGACAACGATAGACCAAGTAAACTGGCAAGTCTGACCACCAAGCTAAAGGCACTCGCCTTGACCAAGACAGTGACATGAATCGATACGAAAGGAACGCCTGACGACATACAAGGAAAGGATGCACTTTTGCGTAACTTGGAATAGCTAACTGGTATTCCACGGGTAATTAGCACAACTAGATTGAAAACCAAGGAGGCAGATGCGCGTATGCGATAACTGAGGGCTAACACTTGCGAAAAGAATACATTTCCGCAATTCACTCCAGGTAGATAAATGTGACAGGTAAGTGAACGCTGGGGATGCGATTGGTTAACTGAGCAAAGTCGAGAAATAGTCCGCTGAAGATGCACAACGATCGATCTACCGCTGGACACACACTGGTCCCTCGGCACAGCTGTCAGTTAACCCTACTAAGAATAGCAGAGGTTCAATTGGCTGCTTTCAATCAAAGTGTAAAGTTATGTTGCACGAGCGGATTGATGGGCCGCCGAACAGTCAATGGAAGTGGTGGATCGGTTCACTTTTCTTGGTAGCTGTGTCACTCCTGGTGGCCACACCGCACAGAGGAAATTAGTTCGTGTATCGTCAAGGCCCGTGTGGCTTTCCAGTGAAAGGTAAGGTGTGTAACACTGCGATAAGATCTGTGTTACTGTATGGACCAGAGACCTGGCCAGTTCGCAGGGAAGACATAAAACGCTTGGCGGTGTTTGACCACCGGTGCCTTCGGAGTAGTGCTCACGCCTGGTGGGATATGTGGAGACATTTTTATACATTTAATTTTGTTCTTTAAAAGTAATTGCATACACTTCAGCATCCGCAGTGATAGTGTAAGATGCTGAAAATGTGCCTACCCGGGTACATAAAGTCCAGTTTGAGTTGATTTGACTTGAACACGAGGTAAGTGATGATGATGTCCGCCAAATGGTTCTGATGCTTCAATCGAGTGTCTGCTCAGGCTTAACCATCTAAGCTGGATAGATCATGTCCTCCGTAAGCGCGTTGACCGGCTTCCTAGACGTGCATTGTACGCCGTGGTTGCATTTAATCTGGCGAAAACGAGAGGTGGCCAGTAGATGACATAAAATACGTCAGTAGTACGCCGGTACGCAGTACCGACGCCTCGCTGCTACACGACAAGCACATGTTGCGTGTGGGCTAAGGAGACTGCGAGGGTCGCCCGGTCTTCTAAGCAGCCTCGAACCCCTGACTTTGGGTCGCAAAGCGGACGCCTTGTCCTTTGGGCGACGGGAGGGTAGTCGATGACGTGGCATAAAGAGAGACTTAGTCAGGTTGGTGCAAGTCATCCCAGGTGGTGGGGCATCAGAATGGTTCACACATGCAGCTGGAGACTGTAACAGATATGGTGCAGTCGAGTGGTCAGTAGTGTTCCTGCATTCAGTTTCTATCATTTAGTCGTTAGTTTTCCTTGCCAATTAGGTATGCGCACTTCTGTCTTTATTCCATTTTCTTTGTATTCTATTTGCGTTCAACTTCATTTTCTTAACGTCAGTACTTACTCACGCGGTGTTTCCACCAGACATAAGCTAAGTTGTGAAGGCAGCGATGACTGAAGGTAACCAGCCTCTGTAAGTCTATCGATCTGATGGGCCAGGTTTCGCAACCGTATAGGAGGGTTGAAAAGACGCCTACATTGCAAATACTGTCTTTCAGAAGGAGAGTGATGTCGCATCTGCGCCACAGGTGGTGGAGATTGGCAAAAGCACCCTGAGCTTTCGCTATACGATTCGTAACCTCATCTTCGATCCCAAGGGCGCTAATATAGCTGCCCAGGAACTTGAATTCCTGAACGATTTCTAGCTGATCAACGGCAAGCATAAGCGTAGATGTGGGTCCCTTCCAAGTTTGGAGAATATGGCATTCCGAGGGTGCAAAATATAGCCCGAAACGATTGACAGCCAGTGCTGCTTGACACGTTTGGGAGCTGCTACAGATTAGCGCAATGTCATCGGCATACGCCAAGTAAGAAGTTGTTCACCTGGCAACAGCTCCACACCTAAGTCGTGCCCTGAGAAAGACGTTTCCATGGCTTAATGAATGGCGAAGTTATGGAAGAAAGGTGATAGCGGGCAACCTTGTCTTACTCCGCTAAAGATATTACAGGACGGCGACAGTTTGCCATAAACCCTCCCTCTGCCCGAACTATGAGCGTACAACCGTCAGTACCGGTACGAGAATGAATGTAAAAACAACCCTGAGGCGCTGAATCGCCATATAAACGCTCCGGTCACTAATGACGAGTATGATAGCTTCACTTCTAGCCATACGGATGCAATGTGAGTTGCTGAATGAATCAGTTCAGTTGGCCAAATGTGACCATTTATGTGAAAAGCAGTGGATGCAACGTCCAAGAATGAACAAAAATTAAAGAAAGTGGAAAAAGGAAAAACGTAGAACGAGACAAAAACTTAGTACCAGATGCAACTGCGCCAATGATACCTACTCATTGAGGTACACAATCACTGACATGGCCGATTCCGGGTCCCCTATTCATGAATGCGACTAGCAGCGAACCTATATAGCCCCTCGGGGGGTCTCTCCATGCTGTTTAGCTACACCATTAACTGGCCACCTCAGAATTCCGCCTAAATACGTGCGATTCCAGCAAACGACACACGCCAGGGCAGCCAGTAAGCACGCATATGGCCCAGTCAATGCACGTCGAGTAAAGCTAACCGATGGTCCCACATGACCCACATGATGTCCACCGCTGACAATAACAATGCGTACAACTCAATATCACTCAGTTGGTTGTCCCCTTATATAGGGGCTACAGTCCGCAGAAGTTGGTGATTAAACTTGGTTAGAATTGCAGTAGCTTCAGGGTGTAACAACTGTTAGGGGAGCACACACATAGCAGTCTTAGAAGTGCGTTTCCATACCAACATAAGCAAATATATTTCACGCAATGTCAAGAAACTGATTCTCATCGACAACTAGGACTAATTCAGATTAAAGTTTGTTGGCCGGGAGCCAGCTAGTGAGAGTGCTTCTGCGTTTCAATCAGTCACTGACAGCATTTTTAACTTGAAGCAGCCAATGAAAGCGTTTCATCGAGAATAGCAACAAGAATGTATCTTTATGGATTCGGTTGAAAGCTTGTCGATGCCATTATCTTCAATAAGCGAGGAAAAAAAGGGGGCATAGCGACGCATTAGTAATAATCAAGTTCAAAAGTAGGCATAAGACCGTTAAAACATTATGTACTCACTGAGAAAGTGCAATAGCCAATGCATCGTTAAGGACGCTTTCTCCGAAAACTAGAGCATGCAAGTCCACGTCCACACCGAGGTCATTAAAGATGGCAAGAACGGTAACTACAAATCAAGATGACAAGAGGACGACAACCTGGATCCGTTGCTGATATTATGGAGCCGAACAAAAGACAATCCGAAAATGATAAGAGAGTGGAAAGCGTTGCCATACCACGCGTGAAACCATAGCATATAATGCTGCGAAATGAAGGGTCTGGGAAGATGAGTTACCCGACCACAAAGGCTGACAGAAAAGTGCCCACAAAAGCATACGTCAAAATGGCACCGATATTTCTGAAGAAGTGACACTTTGCTCAAGGTTAGAGATAGAATAAAATAACCTTACTCTGTTCATGCTGTAACCAGCACAGAATATAATGGGAGGCAGCAAGACGTTAAAGAAAATTTCAGGATTGAAGGTGGCTTTGTTGTTAAACGGGATTTCCGTGGAGGCAACTTGCTCATATCCATATTGAAAAGACATGCTCAGATTGAATCGGCCAAACTCATCGCGAACAGGCAAACGAGCTATGAGCTTCTGGGGAGGCAAGCGACCACCGCAACTCGTGTTCGTGGAAAAATCATGGGCGAGGTCATGATACTCCACTGAGAGTTTCGAGGGTTTCACACCATAGCGGAAAGCAACGCCCACAATTAAACCTAACACATAAGACCACTGAACAATTGTAACCCACCGTATACAACAGACAAACCGGTTTCGTGGAAGTATCGGAAACGTCTATGTTTAAACGTCCAGATGGTAATCACAGAGAGCACAATAAGTATCGTATAGACTAACAATATCAGACTATCGAGTCTGTGATCCAGTTGTAGTCGTTGCTCTGTCTGATCTTCGACCACTTTACTTTCACTCAAAAGACAATGTGTGGCAGCCATCAGTGAAGCGTCGTGGCGCAACGAGACAACCACGTATTGGACATATAGTGTAAAGAAGTCGAATTCAGCTGAAATTAAAAAGTAGCATGTAAAGCAAACAAGTAATTGAGGTTGGTATCGAGCAAGCATTTGATAGCCGAAGAGCTGGGCAATTGCAGGTACAAAAGCATGCAATAGTAATTTGGGAAGGAGTAGACGGGTAAGTATTGAACAAAATCTCACGGTAATTTGATAAACGCAGGAAGTGCAGCGTTATCCACATCGGTAACGTTGAACTGGCAAACCAGCAAGGAAGCATAAGGAATCGAGTAAGCAGGAATACTGAGAAAGGGACAAAGGAGTTTAGTGTAAAAAAATTCTAGTGTAAGGCCTAAATGCCAAAAGGAAGTGGCAGAGTAATACACAAACAGTCGGGCAATAAACAAAGAGTGAGGAGACAGATGAAGGGGTCGGAAGTGGTACCTGCTGAATGGTCTGAACAAACGCTTACGCCTAGACAACAAATCAGTTAAAAATAATTCACCATCAGGCAAAGACAAGGCGGTGATCATCAGAAGACGTTCTAGTAAGTCACTGTCCCAGGTAGTAATTAATTCCGCTTTACAGAAAAATACAGTATCAAACACAATACAAACAGGAAGTTGGGCTAGAAAAGGACAGTAAATATGACACGGTTGCCGGTTCAAATCCATGTCAAGTGAGGTTTCGGGCCAAGTATGGAAAATGAAACGAAACCAAAATAATTCGAATTGCTTCAGCGACAATGAGCTGCTGAGGCATGCTGCAGATGAGCAGCTCAGATGTAATGGTGATGAGAATGGTACTGCGATGAGTTTGATGGGAGGCAGTTTGACCATGTTAAAGATGGTGGATGTTGGCAACTGCCAGTTAGAGAGCATCTTCTCCATGCAGGTAGTTCATTTCAGTTGAATAACTATGATCTGAGCATCGAAGTGCGGTGCATGTAGTTGCCACGAGTCACACCGTAAGAATAAGAAAAAATAACCATGGAGGACAGTGGGTTAAGCGAACAGAAGGAAAACCGAAGCAAAAAAGAAATGCGATAGGTTAGACAGTGTGGAAGGAAAATTAACAACCAGATGTAAAAACGAATGTAGAAACGCCACTGACCACATGACTGCGCCATGTCTGATAGGGTATACAATCATAGGTGTAGACCTTCTCGAGGCCCCCATCCACGAAAACGCACGAGCCAGCCTGATCAAGTCTCTTAGAATAGTGCTTCAAGATTCTATGCCCCGTCATGGATTAGCCACCACGCGGTTTCACCCCAATTGGCGCGGACGCAGCGTATAGTGCACATCGAGGAAGCCCAACAACGGGAAAACGGAGGACATTGCATAGCCAAAGCAAGCGAACAAGATTTAGCAAACAATCTAGGAAGCACCAGAAGGTTTCTCGCCAAAAAGGGAACCGGCGGACATCAGCATTGTTCACCCGGTGTTCCCAACAAACGTAAGCAAACCTTCACAAGCACCTCCGATCAAACGCAGCCAAGTTTTTAATGAACTCACTGCGAATCGGTCAGGAATCTGAATTCTGCGGCGTGCTTCGCGGATTTTGGGAGGCTTGTGGGGGTTGTCAGCACAGTGTTTGACATCTCGAAGGCAGTTGACGTGAATTCATACGGATTTGAGTTTACATGAGAATTTGCGAAATAGTTTGCGCTGCTGCTGACAATAATAATCGCGAAAAGCTGGTCGCATTAGTTACAGAGAAGTTGGATGCGAACGGTACGTTCTTCATGCCTTGTCCCTGTGGACAATCCACTTCCGGGTACGACTTCGGACCTTCCCGTCCGTTCCCCTGACTCTCCTTGTTTTTTGTTGTGATTACTCATGTATCTTGGCGTTTCCAAATGTCTATTGGTCAAGTGTTATATATTTGACTTCGGATGGGTGTGAAGCGTTGCATCACTATGGAAACCAGTTGGGGTTGTGGAGCACAATTCATGCAGAGTAAAGCAACAGGATTACCACGCGCTGTCTGCGCTCAAGTAATGTTCAGGCGGCCAGCTGTTAGTGGAAATGGGTGCTTCAACTTATCTTAATCAGTTCAGCTTTTGGTGTAGGTTAGCATGGTGATGACGGGTTTGTAGGCCAGGTATACTAAGTCGAAATGGAGGATGCCGTGATCGCTGAGTCAAAGAGGGTCATAAATGCCTTTCGTTCTCTTGAGACAATTTTCATCAAAGTATGTATGTATGCATGCAATCTCAGCAGTCTAGCTACTAGGCACAGAGCCAGAATAAAACCAGGGAGACCAGCGAACAAGGGACAGCCATCACGTCATAATCATCGTGGCATGGTAGTTAAAGGTGAGCAACACACTTCAGCTAATATGCCACAGGAGGAATGGAACATTTTGACAAAAACTAAAAGAAAGTACTTTTTCACACGCCGATTTATCTCTTCCCTGTCAATTTCGAAGTATGTAGTATCAAACATGTGAATCATTACAATACTGTACACAATTCCTCCACTGATTCCGGTTGCGAGCCATGTCTTCAAGAGTCCTAAGCCATTGGCACTCCTCATCTTGAGTCCCCATCCTGGAAAACGTACGAATTTAAAAGCGGCTAGACACGACATCAGCGATTTCATGTGCTGTCGCCAAGTGGAAGGCTGACCACCACGCGGTCGCCTCCAGCCAGGTCCTTGACGAGCAAATAGAGCGCGACGCGGTAGACGTTCAGGTGCCATGCGTAGGACGTGACCGAGCCATCTCAACTGACACAACAAAACCAGTTTGTTAAAGAGATTACTCGCATTCCCCAATATGCGACGTCGAACGTCATTACTATGAACTCGATGTTGCCACCAAACACGAGCGATCCTCCTTAAGCAAACGTTATCGAAGGCAGAAAGACGACGCATGTCTTCCACGCGAATCGGCCAGGAATCGCACCCATACAACAATACTGAGCGAACCGATGCGCTGTAAACGCGGTCCTTTTGCGAAAACGAGAAGACCGCGACGAGGCCACAAGTGCGTCAGTTTGACAAATGCTGATCGAGCTTAAGCGATACGAAGAGAAACTTCTTTGTTGATAGTGTCGTCAGCAGAAACACAGCTCCCAAGGTAGACGAAACTATCTACCTGTTCAAGTTGTGCAACTTCGAGAGTGAGCACGGGAGCAGGCGAAAGCCAATCCTTGAGCAGTACTTTACACTTCGATGGGGCGAAGCTCATGTCATACTTAGATGCTTCAACCGCCAAACGATCCAGAATGAGTTGCATACCCTGTGGATCGTAACCAAGTAAGGCGATATCATCATCATAATCCAATTCGGTTGCGCGATCACCCGGTAGAAGCTCTAGGCTAAAATGTTGGAAATGTGCTAGAGCATTCGACAGAACGTCTTCCATTGCGAAGTTGAAGAGAAATGGGAACATACGGCAGCCCTGTCGCACACCGTTATTGACAGTGCATTGCGAGGAAAGCTTGCCATAGACCCTCACTCCACCGGATGTATGAAGGTAAAGTTCTCGTAAGATGGCGGGATATTTCTCTGGCACCCCGTTCTTTAGTAAGCAACGCCATTAAGCAGATCGATCAACGGAGTCAAAAGCGGCACGTATGTCTAGGAATGCAACGATAGTGGGCCTGTGATAGATGTGGCGATGTTCGAGGAGCTGGTGGAGCGTGAAGATTTGATCCACGCATCCGCGGCCAGGACGGAAACCAGCTTGTTCTTCACGGTAGTATGATTCTCGTACTTGGGATAGTCTACGGAGCAGAATGTATGTCAATAGCTTGGAGGCAACCGAGATAAAAGTAATCCTGCGATGATTTGCACATGAAGTGCGAGCGCCTTTCTTGAAAATCGGGACAATAACTGATTCGCCCCAAGAGGAAGGCACTTCCTCTTCATGCCAGATTTTCGCGAACAGCTTGGTCATTTGGTTAATGATCTCTACATCGCCGTACTTGAATAGCTCCGGAGGAAGTCCGTCTGAGCCGACAGTCTTGAACCGCTTCAAGCGTCGAATCTCGAAGCAGACTTCCGCTTCACTGGGTGGATTCAGTGGGACGAGCCAGGGTGGACAACAAGGTGTAGTGCATGTACTGATGGATGATGGAGGCCAGTTGAACTGCGAGTGAAAATGCTCGGCCCAGCGGTCCATACTCCTCTGTTGGTTGGTAATCGGAGACTCATCCACCTCACAAATGACCTCACTGACACCAGGCCTCCTGAGGCCAGTGGACCCAATGAGTTGGAAAAGCCTCCGGGCGTTATCAGAGTGGACAGCGGTCTCTATCTCTAAAGCATGCTCAGACCACCATGTCTCGCGATCCTTGCGTAGGCTTTGCTTAAGCAGCCGGTTGGCAGCACGTTGCCACTCGTTGCAATCTGATTCCACCGGGATATGTTCGCGACGTTCAAACAGATCCAGAAAATGAGCAGAGATCCAAGCCTTCAAGGTGCGTCGAGTTAGGCCGCAGCATGACTGTCCGGAAATAGTCATCGCCTTCCGTATACACGTCCAGTGTTGTTCCACTTCTTGCGGTGGATTGCAACTGAGTACATATGCCAGTGAAGACTGATAGCTCGCCTGGACAGAGGAATCAGTTACTCTGTTTATATCAATCTTGCGGTGCTTCGTATTTAGGGATCGTCCAAAACACATACAGATTTTCGCGCAGAGCAGAGCATGATCTGAGTCAACGAAAGTGGACCAAAAGGACCTGCAGTTCGGTACGCTGCCACGACATCTGAAGCTAATTGCAATGTAATCAATTTGAGACTACAGTTGTGTTGGCGAAGGGGGACGCCACTTTGCGGAACGCTTCTTTGTACGCTTGAAGTTAGTGCTCGAAAGAAACAGACGGTTGTCTTCGCACAATGTGAGAAGCCTCTCTCCGTTATCAGAGCGGTTCTCATCCAGCGCTTGATGACCACCAAGGTGGCGTTCGTATGGTAACAGGCGGCCAACCCGTGCATTAAAATCCCCAGCTAGGACAACGCCATCCAACTTTTTAGCATTAGTCAAGAGCTGTTGTAGATCCCGGTAGAATTCGTCCTTGACCGAGTCGCCACTGCAGT